TCGATGTGTGTTTTCTTTTCTTATTTTCTTTATTTTTCTCTTCCTCTTCTTTTCACCTTCTTTTTCTTATCTCTTTAAACAACTAACCTTCCACATATTTTACAATGCACGAAAAATAATGGTGATGGAACACAAAAGAAATAGAGAAACAAGTTCAACAATTGCTTATTTTATCAATTGTTCAAAATAATCACCTTCGTTATCTATACACAATTGCATTCTTTGAATCCATTTCTCGAAGGTTTTTTTATATTCTTCTTTTTTTAAAGAATACATGAAATCGGATACAGCATCATATAATGATTCTGAATCGCTTTGGTCAGTTAGATTTTCTTTAATTAAATAGAACAACCAAAAGTCACATGGTGACAAATTTGGAGAATTAGGTGCATGTGGTATTATTGTGAGGCCTTCAGATTCAAGATAATTGGACACATCTTTATGAATATGTGGCCTTCCATTATCGTGGTGGATTTTAATACGACGGGTACCATATGAGGGTCTTTGACGTTTGACTTGTTCGACAAGTGGTTGTAAACAATTGTTGATGTAATAGTGATGATCAATCGCTTGTCCCCGTTCCACAGGATGAATGAAAACAGGACCATCTGACTTAAAAAAGATGGAAAATAGGGTTCTTGGAGCAAACCTATCGCGTCGAACTACAGTAGATGGAGGATCTCCTCTTCTCACCCACGCTGCATTCGATGACTTCCAACCAATTTGTGTATGATAAAACCACAACTCGTCACCAGTTATTACATCACATAGACGCCATGTTCCTTCTTGAAATTTTGCTAAATTTTGTTGGCATATTCGGACTCGTTCAGCCCGTTGAAAATCGGTCAGATCCTTGAGTATATAACGAGCGGTAACTTTCTTAAGGTTTAAATGATCGGTGATGATTAGCTGAACGGTGCCATGACTTAAACCAGTTTGCTCTTGCACCTCGTCTATTGTAATGTGAGGATCGTCATCGATAAGAAGGCAGACCTGTTCAATATTTTCAGATGTTGTTTCGGTAACAGGTCTGCCGGGTCGTGCTTCATCTTCAATTTCTTCTCGGCCTTCACGAAACCATTTAGCCCATCTTTCAACTGTTCTCAAACAAGGAACTTGGTCACCATGAACAGAATGTAGTTCATTATAAATAACTGATGCTGGAATATTAAGTGCGGTTCGTACTTTAATATAAAAGCGAAAGTTTTCTTTATTCATCGATAACAAATGAGTAGTGTTAAAGCTGAATTCTTGTTAAGTGGTCTGTTGTGAATCGTTTATTAACTCAAAGTGATTACAGGTTTTACATGCGCAAAACTGAACTAGTCGTCTAAAGCGACAGGTATATATACCCGAGCTCAGACACCGAAGAATATTCCAGAAGATCATGAGTCAGATCAAAGGAGAGAGATGAGATGAGTCCACCAAGAGAGATAATAGTATAGAATAGAAAAGAAAAAATGCACTTGAATAACCTGAACATACGAAAAGAAAAGAGAGAGAAATATAGCGCGGTTTTTCTAAAAAGAAGAAGAGAAAAATAAAGAAAATAAGAAAAGAAAACACACATGAATGATGATATCCACTAGTGGTACCAGGTGGAGTTACAAAAAAAAACAGTATTATCGAAATTTTATTATTATAATATCAGTTAAATAGTAATCGAATAGAATAGAAAAATAGAGCAAACGACGCTCTATCTGTTCATAAAAAAAGAAAATTTTCTTAAGTGTTCTATACGAAATTAAGATGGGGGTGACACTACTTTTGGTATGCCCTAAGTATTTCACATATGTATGTCACTTTCAATTATATTGAGAGCTACTAATCCTCATCGTCATCCTCAAGATGGTACCCAATGTATCCTACTTCTCTACTAGTCCCGATTTTTCTACAAAATACAAAGTTTTGATTGAATAAAACTTTGATGATAATCCTTCCTAGTCATGGCTAATATCTAGAAAAAATTTTGAGATTGATCGATTGCTGACGTGGGCGGAGTGGCTTAAGCATGGAGAACATCAGAAATCGATCTTACCGATTTATCAATGTTACAGACCTTGATAGTTCGTCTTTTTTTTTAATAGTGAATGAACTGGTATATAATTCGAGTTATTTATCGGCATTGACTACCAGTAGTCCAACGTATAGTCGTCTCAACGGTGTATCAAATTCAATCTACTACTACAAGGCAGTTCAGGTGATTGTATATACATCGGGCATTTACACTTTCACAAGCCAGAGTAATATCGATCTTTATGGCTATCTCTACCAGAACTATTTCGATCCATCCAATCCGTCTTCGAATTTACTTGTACAAAATGATGATAGTGGTGGCAATAGTCAGTTTCAATTCAGAATTACTCTCCAGGCTGGTGCTACATACATTTTGGTTGTCACAACATACAGTCCAAATGTGACGGCAGTATTTTCGGTTGTTGTATCCGGTCCATATATTGTTACTTTCGATTCTATGAACAGCATAACAACAACAACAACAACAATGAGTGAGTATAATAGCAGCTCTCAACAGCGTTCTAACCGATGTTACCATTATTTATTACATGAGTTCCCACACGCTTTCATACCAGCTAACATTTTCAAAATTCATCATTAACACTCCGAGTGCCGAAAATATTTTAAAAATGCTGTGACACAGATGAGTTCTAGAACATCTACAAACCGATCCTTATCTTCATAATCATCCATGTTAAAACAGTTTTTTTTAAATAGACTAAAATATTGATGAGAATAGTTCGAGTAGAATTTCTGACAACCTATTTGTTGTTTCGATTAATGATCAGTATCGAATTCTGAATAGAATGAAGTGTCATACATACTATTAAGATGGAAAATTATTACCTATGCAGGATGCATGTTGGCTCAAGCAGGTACGAAAACTTATTTTCTTATCAGACTTAGAATTTGCTGTTGATCTGCTTGATTTTGTCTAAGACTGCAGAATAAATGAGATAAGGGCAAAGCAGGTCTTTGTCTGAATAGATCAATGCTAAAATTATATTAACAACAAATAGATCTATCAGCATTTTGATCATCACTTGCTTCACTCTCTAGAATAATGTCTCATTGTTTATTAGAATACATCATGGACTAGCTAGCATCGTATTGAAATTGACCCTATGTTGATCTGAACCATGAGGGCTAATATTCTAGATTGACTAGATACCGAAAACTCTTCAAGTACTTTGATATTCGGACAATTCAATTTTGCCCTGACAAATTACTGCTATTTGAAGTTAATAAAAATGAAAGTGCGATCAAACAATATTATTGCACTTGCGGTCGGTTGTAGAAAATGCACTTCGAACTCGTTTTTTTTTATCTAATAGAGAGGAGAAATGAAGAATTATTTCAAAACAAAACAGATTTTTTTTGTCAGATCAGTTCAATGTTCTCTATTTACTTTTTTCTTCAATATTTGTAGCATCAACATGCCCTTCGTCTGTTGTTATTTCATGCTATTCAAGTGCATTAACAATAAATAGTTCAACATATAATCGTACATACGGTTCAGCATCAAACAACTACTACGAGGCAATTCAGGTGACCATACCTACCACAGACTGTTACAATTTCATCAGTAGCAGCAATATCGATCTTTATGGCTATTTCTACCAGAACTATTTCGATCCATCCAATCCGTCTTCGAATTTACTTGCACAAAATGATGATAGTGGTGGCAATAGTCAGTTTCAATTCACAGTTAATCTCCAGGATTTTCATACATACATATTGGTTGTCACGACGTACCGTCAGAATGTGACGGGAGCGTTCTCAATTTGTGCAACTGGCCCAGATCGTGTCAGTTTTTTTGGTAATGCGGCAAGATTAGCCGATGCCACCAAGATCTGAAACAAGAAGTGAACATTCCAAAAAGAGACTCTAAAAACAAATTGTTATCTTTTCTATTTTCCGAAGAATTTTTTTTCTGTCGCTTGTACTTTTGACTTCTCTGTGCTTTTTCAATGTATTTATTCTTTTGACCTTTATTTACAAATACTCTTGCATTATAATAATTATCATTTCTATTTCTTTCTTTACTTATTTCTTTGTCTTTCATCGAACTTGAATTTTGAAAAATACTAAAATATATTTTAATCTGATAAGTTCAAAATTACCGAAAATAAATTAAGCCGAATGAAGAATAACAATTATGCACAAACAGAGAAAGGTGAGGAAGATTCCTTTGACCAAAATCATCGGAATGGAGTGTGAGTGCAAGCGTAGGTCTTCTCCTCAACGACAACCACACTCACACCCTTCGTTACTCATATTTTTCTATCCATTTCGGGGTGTGAGTGTGGGTGTGGGTGTGGATATGAATATGGGTGTGAGTGAGTGCGGGTGTGTTAGGGTGGGTGTGGGTGTGGGTATGGATGTGAGTGTGGGATTCTAATACATCTTCATCCACACTCACATCTCTCACCCACACTCACATCCACACTCACACTCACATCCACACCCACACCCACACCCACACCCTTATGCATCCTTATTTTATGAATCTGGTTGATTTCCTTGCTTTTGTGGCTATTTAGAACATTAATCTATCTTGATAAATGATAATGAGTTCTAATGGATCCTGACGGATCCTAATGGATCCTGATGGATCCCAGGATCCACTAGGATCCGCTTTTCCCCCCTTGCATTGCCCTAGAGAAAGAAAAACGAGGACTAAATTCATCAGTGCAGATGATGGAAAATAAAATTAAAAAAATGCGACTTTTCTTTTTCTATTGGAAATAACTCCGTTTATAAGAAGATATTACGAATAAGAAAGAACAAGAACAAAAATTAGAAACAGTCATAAAAATTAAGAACATTAATATGAAAACAAA